ATCACGGTTTGCAACATGGAGAACTTCGACCCGATGGGGGTCCACACCGGCGAGTCCATCGTCGTGGCCCCGTCGCAGACGCTGACGAACGACGAGTACCACATGCTGCGTACCGCGTCGATCAAGATCATCCGCCACCTCGGTATTGTGGGCGAGTGCAACATCCAGTACGGCCTCCACCCCACCTCACACCGCTACGTTGTTATCGAGGTTAACGCACGCCTCTCGCGTTCCTCGGCTCTTGCGTCCAAGGCGACCGGCTACCCGCTCGCGCACGTCGCAACAAAGATTGCCCTCGGCAAAGGTCTCTTCGAGATCACCAACGGCGTCACCAAGACGACGATGGCGTGCTTTGAGCCGAGTCTCGACTACATTGTAGTGAAGGCGCCTCGCTGGGACCTGAGCAAGTTCAACATGGTAAGTGAGGAGATCGGCTCCATGATGAAGAGTGTCGGTGAGGTGATGGCGATCGGCCGCACCTTCGAGGAGGCGCTGCAGAAGGCGCTGCGCATGGTGGACCCCTCGCACACCGGTTTCGACGTCCCCTCCAGGCTGGAGTCGCGAAAGGCGTGGGATTACATGCAGCACATCAAGGTGCCCACGCCAGAGCGCATCTTCGCTATTTGCCGCGCCTTCCACGAGGGCGTGACAGTGGAGGAGATCCACGAAATGACAAAGATTAGTGTCTTCTTCCTCAACAAGCTGCATAATCTGATTGTGCTGCAGAACAACATGGTAAAGCTGTTCCATGGGAGGGTATCAAGTATGCCGTACGACTTCTTGCTCGTGATGAAGGCACATGGCTTCAGTGATGCACAAATTGCAAAGTACATTGGCTGTACCGCATGTAATGTGCGTGAGCGGCGCACGCAGTTAAACATTGCGCCCAAGATTAAACAGATTGACACCGTGGCAGGCGAGTTCCCGGCCGCGCAGTGCTGCTACCTGTACGCTACTTACAATGCCCAGAGTGACGATGTGGACTTCACCGAGCCTATGTACGCCGTGCTCGGCTGTGGTGTCTACCGTATTGGTAACAGTGTGGAGTTTGACTACGGCGGTGTTCTCGTCGCGCGCGAGTTGCGCCGCCTCGGCAACAGGGTGATCCTGATCAACTACAACCCCGAGACCGTCTCCACCGACTACGACGAGTGCGATCGGCTTTACTTTGAAGAGGTCTCAGAGGAAACGGTGCTGGACATTCTACTCAAGGAGCGCATCCTCGGCGTTGTCATTTCGCTCGGTGGGCAGATTGTGCAGAACATGGCGTTGCGCCTCAAGCAGCATGGACTGCCGATCCTCGGCACCGACCCTGTCAACGTCGACAAGGCTGAGGACCGAAACAAGTTTTCCAAGATGTGCGATGAACTGGGTGTTCCGCAGCCGGAGTGGATCCTGTCGACGAGCGTGGAGCAGGTGCATGCCTTCTGCGAGCGCGTCGGCTTCCCCACACTCGTGCGGCCGAGTTACGTGCTGAGCGGCTCCGCGATGGCCGTCATTGCGAGCGCGGCGGACATTGACCGCTACCTCACCGAGGCATCGCTCGTCTCGGGCGAGCACCCAGTTGTAGTCAGCAAGTACTACGAGGGGGCGATGGAGTACGACGTGGACATCGTCGCCCACCACGGCAGGGTGCTCTGCTACGCCATTTGCGAGCACGTGGAGAACGCGGGCGTGCACTCGGGCGATGCGACAATGTTCCTGCCGCCGCAGTACACCGAGAAGGCCGTCATGAAGCGCATCTACGAGGCCGCCACACGCATTGCAGAGGAGCTCGACGTCGTGGGCCCTATGAACGTCCAGTTCCTGCTCACGAAGGACAAGCAACTGCGTGTGATTGAGGCGAACATCCGAAGCTCGCGCTCGGTGCCGTTCGTGTCCAAGACACTCGGCATATCTTTCCCCGCTGTGATGGTCTCGGCGTTCCTCTCACGCCGCGAGTCCGACCTGGTGCCGATCAAACGCGCCAAGATGACGCACATCGGCTGCAAGGCGTCCGTCTTCTCCTTCAACCGGCTTGCCGGCGCGGACCCGATCCTCGGCGTGGAGATGGCGTCCACCGGCGAGATCGGCGTCTTTGGTCGTGACAGGAACGAGGTGTTCCTCAAGGCGATGCTCTGCCAGAACTTCCGCTACCCATCGCGCGGCGTGTTTATCAGCTGTGACGTGGACGACCATGCGGAGGAGCTCTGCCCGTACTTCGCACGCCTTGGCCAGCGCTTCACGTTGTTCGCATCGCAGCAGACCGGGCGCGTGCTCGCCAGCCACGGCATTCCCCACACAGTGCTGACGCAGCGGCACGAGGCCGAGAACCCGACATACGACGCGGCGGTGGCGGCGAAGGAGATGTTCGACATGGTCATTCAGCTGCGCGACAAGCGGAGGGACTTTATGCTGCGCCGCTGCACGAGGGAGACTGCCACGCCGGACTACTGGTTACGCCGCCTCGCGGTGGATTACAACATACCGCTCCTCACGGAGTCGAATGTGGTGCGTATGTTCTGCGACTCCCTGCATATTTCCCCCAGCGACATTGAAATCGAGTCCTTCCGCCACTACGTCCCGCATGTGTATCACAAAATCCAGAATGACAACTGCACGATGCTGCGCCGCCACAAGGTGGGTCTCTGCATCGCCTGCACGAACGACAGCAAAGTCTTGGCGGTCCGCCTTCTGGAGGAGAGGGTTGCCGTGACGTGCTTTCACGCCAACCTAGGAGGTGTGAATGCGGACAGCGAGAGTGTGGCAGAGCGCTTCCGCATCACCGGTGCACCAGTGGAGGTTGTCGACCTCCGCTCCGAGATGGCAGAACTAGGCTTCGACATGGTGATGGCTATGATCGCCGACGACACAAACAACTGGCACCTCTCGCAGCTGAGCTGGCATGTGATGGGCGTCCACCTGCTGAAGGCGATGCGGGCCCGCCAGATGACTGTTGTCGCGCAGAGCTCACCACGCGGCAAGAAGGAGGTGAACTTCGAGCGCTACGTGCGCACGCTGTACCCGAAGATGGGCGTCTACAACCCCTGGCACGACCCGCGCCTCATTGACGACTTCCCCAATGAGGGGGAGAAGATTGCGTACCTGCAGAAGCATGGCGTGCCGGCCAGCACCGCCCAAGTGGAGTCGCACAGTAGCGTCTGCGGCATCACGTACCAGAAACGCAATGTGCGGAACATGCCGGCACCGCAGATGGTGCTGCCGCTGCGCGGGTGCCCGCATACGCCGGAGTTCTGCTCTCTCACCTTCCGCAGCGCCCGCTGTGTGGCGATCAACAACCAGGAGGTGACACCACTGCAGGCGCTGCAGAAGGCCAACGAGATCGCCGGCCGCAACGGCATCGGCATGGTACGGACGCGCGATGGCGCGATGTACGAGACGCCCGGTTTGACACTTCTCTCCAAGACGCTGCGCTTCCTCTACGATGTTTGCTTCGACCGCAGCGCGGCAGACATGTTCCGTCTGTACTCGAGCCACATCACCTCGCAACTGGAGGCGCAGAGGCTGCTGGAGCGCCACACGCAGTCCGCACTGGAGGCGATCCGTTATCTGAC